CCGCTGAACGCTGCTGAACAGAAAAATTATGCGACTCCATCACATAACATCGGGCTGTCTTGACGCATCGCAGGTTCCGCAACAAGAAGTCTATCAAATATGTTGCATTTTCTTGATTTCAGAAAACGTACTATGGAACGTTTCAGTTGAAAACATCTCCAAACTATTGAAATATCCTTTATCCTTTGATATCCTGATGAGATTTGCCTGGTACTGACTTATCTCTAGACTACTAGAATTAACCAGTATGAATTTAATATGACCACTGCCAAAATGGCTTTACTGTATATAAGGGAATAACAACAGGAAAGCGAGACCATTTCAGAATATTTCGCATACGTAAAATCTCATCGCTATTAGTTTTTATTTGATGAACTGGTCTACTAATGTTAATAATGTTATCGTATTAGCTAAATGCTGTAGTGATAACCACGGAGTTGAATTAACTTTATCAAGTGTACTCATGAAATAGCGACAAGGCGAAACTTCTCAAATAAAATAAAGCGGGTACATTCTTATTAAACTGTAGTAGGCGATAGATTGCTTTTTGATGATCAGGAGAGTTTTGGATGGTCCAAGTTTTCTGGTACGTTAATTTTGATCTCATTCATGACCCACTACAAAAATGCGCAACGGAGTTTCGCATTATTCGTGCAATATTTGCAAACCATCTGGGCCACTATGCAAGGCTCATCGACAGCACCAGACAATTATTGCTACCGGGATTCTTAGCTACGTTGTCAGGGTAGTTCATAAGTCATTCATAACAAAAAGCAAGTTGGTACATTTGACAAAGCGATACAGCATTTTTTATGTGAGAATACTGGAGAAGCAACGACTTGCGTTCATGGCTCACACACAACAAGTCGGATTACGGAAAAAGAATCTGACGACGGTTTCATTACGAAGAAATGAAGAGAATATGCAGTGGAAAAGCTTTTTATGAAGAGTCCGTTCTACTGTCATGAACAGTAGAAGAAAGCTACTTAATACAACCGTATAAGATTTACTCCTACTGAATTAAGTACCTGGAAAAGGCACAGGACTCCGTTCAAGTACTTCAAGTATACGAAGACACCACCCTACGATTGTATCTGTCCTAGACCAAACTTTGACAAAGCACTGTACTGATCTGAAGCCATTAGATCACCACGATTTGGGAGACTTCAGCAATAGTTTCCAAGGGTTCTTACACCCTGGATGGACTGTCAAGCAATCACTTTCCAAGAAGCACTCTGGAACTGGAACAAAGAGCGTTCGTACCTTGCCAGTAACAAGTAAAGGCGAACGAAGGACAGCATTTGACTGCTGAACTGATGACTTAAAGTATTACAGTCTGAACACAGTTGTCCATATTTATCAGAATGTCAGTAAAATATTGAAAATGAATCAGCGGTGATAAAACATCAGGACCTGATTGTGTAATGATATTCATCGCGATGCGAATGATTTCACCCAACACACTCGATCTTTGGTGTATGCTGATTGCACTTGATGTACGAAAGATTTTTTATTGATTTTCCACATAATCTAATAACACCGAATGGTTACCAGACCTCAGAGTTCCTAATGTGCAGCAGCAAATCTTAGAATTCGTTTATTGCTTCCACACTCTACGTCGACTAGATTTTCTGTACGAATTTCGTGCATTTCCAGTTCAGTGGGTTATGAAATTTAACGGTACAATCTGATTTGATTTACGGTCCTTCCGGCCGATGAACTGTAGGTTAACGACATCACATTTTCAAATTTATTTCGTCTGTTCCGCGACG